ACGCCAGAGCTACTGTGTCCTCAGGAGGAATCAGCAACTAATAAAAATTGACTGTCCTTCCCTCTGTGCAGTAGCTGGAATCGCACCTCCAGTTAGAACTTGTCATCTAGCATATATGTTTTCGGTCCTTTCTTATTCAGCTGCAGTCTCTCACCAGATGGTACCACACAACCAGCATTCCTTATTGGCAGTAAACAAGAAGATCTTGGGTCAAAGTTAATAGCAGTCACAAAATTGAGAGACTTGTTAGTGGCTGGAAGGTGACTCAACTAGGAAGCATCAGTGACCATGTGCTCTATGGGTGGGGAAGGACATGCAGGAGAAGGTAAGAGCCCAGAAATGGTAGTTGGTAGAGCATGAGACTCTTAATCTCAGGGTTGTGGGTTCGAGCCCCAGATTGGGCAAGAAATTCTGCATTGCAGGGGATTGGACTAGATGATCCTCGTGGTCATCTTCCAACTCTATGATTCTAGGACTCCTACTAAGGGTCTGACTTGTTCTCTTTTTATTGTGCAATGTCTGAAAAGTAGGCAAGCTTGCCCCTTTCTAAGAGAGCAGTTTGAAATCTGAACTATTGAGCCGCAGTTGATGAAGAATGGAGGAAGGGCTAAATTGCAGAGGGAACTGTTCCAAGATCTACAGATCTACGGATGATGGGTGGTATACCAGTTTAATAAATGATAAGAATAATAGCTATGGTTAGGCTCTGCCTCTAATGTCAGAGGCAGTAGGCCTCTAAATATTGGTGGAAGGGAATCTTTGGCAGAGGGAATGCTGTTCCACTCAAGTTCTTCCTGGAGGCTTTGTATAAGCATCAGTGATAAGAGGATGATGGCATACCCTGCAAAATTTCTCCAATGGAAATAGGGACGTCCTATTTCATAATAATAATTTCATTATTTATACCCCACACATCTTATTGGGTTGCCCCAGCACTCTGGGCAGCTTCCAACATATATATATAAAATTAAACATTAAAAGACTTCCCTATACAAGATTGCTTTCAGACGACTCGTGGGTTGGATAACTCCATACCCTCCAATGTTTCTCTAATGAAACATCTTAAGGAAAAGTGGGACATTCCAGGGTCAAATCAGAAACCAGGATGGCTTCTCGAAACCAGAGCCGTCCCTGGAAAATAGGGACACTTGGAGTCTGTGATGGCCAGATGGGCCTTTGCTCTAAATACTGCAAGGTTCCCAACGCAAAGGCAAAGGCTATATAAATGTGAGCAGCCGAACCAATGGAGCCTGTTTCCCCTCATTTAAACTACTCGGTTAGAGACTCACCAATTGACACAAGCCTAGACGGATGCCAACCAACCTAACTGCTGCGTGGTGTTTTTGCAACCAACTTCTACCCACTGGGAAGTGTGGCAGTTGCTTGGCTACAGCCACACTGTGCAGCCAAACCACACAGGCAAACACTTGCACATTGTGGGAGCCAAACAAGGATAAATGATTCAGTGGTAGCAATTGCTCCATTACAGTAATATGCTCATGAGTAAGATACAGCAACAGAAAGCTAAGGAAGCTCCCTGCCTGATCTCATCTGCTGAGTAAGCTCCATTCAGTGGCTAAGCTATATTGTGGTTACGGGTAGTGTATGTTGGAAACTCCACTTGGCTCCCTGCAACTACATAAAAATGGACCACAACTACAACTCTCATTGGCCCTAGCCAGGAGAGCTACTAGCCGCAAGCTTCTGCACAGAAATCCACACGGAGTACATAGTGACCACATATTGCTCCATTGCTGTTGGTCCCATACCCAGTGTTATCACACCCTTATGGCAACTGTTATTTACATGAAAGCCTACTTCTGCATCTCTATTTTTCAGAATATTTCCCAAATAACATAATAAATAAATGTTGCTGAGCTAGGTTGAAAGGCTCTATCAAGGCAGGGTTTCCCAAACTTGGTTTCCCAACTGTTTTTTGAGACTACAACTCCCATCATCCCTAGCTAGCAGGACCAGTGGTCAGGGATGATGGGAATTGTAGTCCAAAACCAGCTGGAGACCTAAGTTGGGGAAGCCCTGGTATAGAGCTATGCAATCTTCCCTCTTGATTACATTGGGTTCCCCCCACCCTCTGCATACGCCAGATGGGCGGGGTATAAATAATAAATTAAATTAATATTAATATTTTAAAAAATCTTTCCAAAAGGCTGTATTTCTGAGAATAAAATTGATACAAAGGAAGAAAAAGAGAGAGTATTATTATTAATCATTAGATTATTGAGAATGAATTGTGACGGCATTCTGCTTTGCTGGAAATTAAATCCATGCTGAAGAATTATTCAGCCTTTTCAGCCTTATATAAAGGTAATGGCATCTGAGCACAAATCAATAGATAAGACGAATATGCTCGCTAAATGAAGATCATGTTTCAGTGGGCCTTAGCCGTTCTCAGTTCACCAAATCATTGTTAAGGTCTTAATAATGAACCGTGTACATATGCATTAGTGCTTAATTAGATTTTGGCGAAATACTCTTGCTATGCCTGGAAAATCTGATCACTATAGATGAGAAATATATGATCGTGCCTTTTGTTTCTGGGTGCTGGCAAACCCCTGAGGTGACAAGATAAAATTCTGAACGGCCTCTAGTGTTTGAATGTGACCTCAACGCCACACCAGGTAAATGGCATCTGATCTCATTGCAATTGCTGCCACTTATTCAAAACAGCATCCAGTGATTCCATCCAGGAAAAAATTAATGCCAGTAAACACAAAGACATTTTGAGAACTGTAGGGGCAGTTGCTTTGCAAAATGTGCATACTGGGAAAAACTGAATATAAAAATGTGTCTATTAGGAGAAATTCACATTTACTGATTTAAAACATAAGTAAATTGCGGAAATGTGGAGAAGCCACTGATTGCTTCCAGATGACGTGTTGACCAACCATTCTTTCTTATTCGCACTGATAAAAACGTTTGCAAGGAACCAACACAACATCTGCTGGTTTTTGAGAATTCATTCTCATTCGTTTGTGGGGAGCAGAGTTATATGACGTCACATCAAAGAGTTGATATCTCACACTTGCCAGTGAATTTTCCTGCCATATTTTCCTTACCATAAGAAGCCTGGGTTTTTGGGGATGTGTGTGTTAGTGGGTTTGTTCCTCAAGTGCACTGTATCCACCTTAGCCGCACATCCTGAATTTGCTGGAATACAACTGAATTCCACCTGTGAAACAGTGACAGTCTGGAAGTGGCCTACTTGGGGTGGTAAAGGGTAGTAATAGGATATCAAAACACTCAGAGCACAATACAGCACAATCCCAATAAATGACATATTGAATTAACCCTTAGGGCAGAATCCTACTGCCACTTGTGTTTAAACAAATCTTATTGATTTCCACAGTCATTATGCATGAGTAACTAGGCACAAACTTCATTAAGAGTAAATGCTGTTTAAAGGAAGAACTTAAATAAACACAACATCCCATGATCTTTTTTTAATCCAAAATCTGATTTTCTTTTAACCACAGTAGACTGTAAGGATGGACTTGAGTTTGTCTGCTAAATTACTTCAAGATGAGAAAGACATTTTCTTTTCTACTCACTTTCCCCTCTTTGAGTGCTGTACATGACTAGACCACAGGTATTGTACACCTCCAGAGTTCTATCTTCCTTAAATGTGAAACAAATAGATATTCTTTCTTTTAGGGGTACCATCAGCCATAGGGACACCTGCTGGTAACAGCAAGAAGGTGAACTCATTACAGTTGCCTTCAAACAGAACCATTGATCCAACAGCTTGGAGTGAATATAATGGTATATTGTGCTTCTTCTGCTTCCCTGCCCCTTAATTCTGGCCCATGACCTTCTTTTGCTTCCTACTCTCTCCTAAATCTGGACCTTCATCCCCTCTGAAATGAAGTAATGGAGTAAAAAGTGAGGCGATTCCTTCTGTCTTACAAATTCAAGTTATTCCCCTGCATGTCTCTTTGGCTGCAGGCTGTTTGCAGGTAGCTCAAGAAAAAGCCTGCCTTAAGAAAAAAGAGAATTAAGGAAACAAAGACCAGCCTAATAACATTTGTTACCTTCTAAATGATCCTGTGCTTCAAATCAACTTGGCACGATTTGCGAGATATCTCTCCCTTATGCTGCAATCTGCATAGTTCTGTCATCTCAATTCTACCCAAGAGATGCTCAGTCTATACAGCTTTGGGCTTAAACGTGACGTCAGTTTTATTGGCACAAATTATGAGGAATACCATACAAATAACATTCTAAGCCCTGGTATGAAAGATACATTAAGTTTTTCTAAATAAAATAAAAAAGCTCCTTATTTTATAGTCAAGTTTTTTTTCATATGTATTCTGCCAGTCCAGAGAAGCCAAGCAAACAGATTTCCATGTTCACTCTGAAGTAAGTACCACTGAATTCAGGGGGGGGGGGCTTGCTCCCAGGTAAATAGATTACAGGCTTGAATCTAGTATCTAGATCCAGAATCTAGGAACATTCTCAAAGGACGTGCAGACTTGCAGACTTGCAGTTGCTACATGCAAGTGTGCTCATCGATTGTGACTCTGTCATCAAAGGGTTGCTAGGATGTACAATGGTCAAGGTAATGCTTTTCAACGGAGATGGTTGCTGCTGCTTACAATCAGGTGGGGGCTTCAAAACCTTGGGAAGAGATGCATGCTTAGAGACTTCAACCACACAATTGATTTTCATATATCTCCCATTTGCTTTCACCATTTAAAAAGCAGCAGCTGAACAAGTCCTTTGAATCTATCTTTAATGCAATTGTTCCTTACCCTTGAATAAGCCCAATTTTTCTAGAGATGAACATCCTCCTCTGAACTGAACCTCTACCCCTCTATTTTTAAAGAGGAGTCTTCCCTGCTGTAGCTACCTGAAGCTCTGGCAGTTAATATCGGGGGAGTGGCATAACCCAATTTAATTGGCATGGATAGAACAATAGAATCATAGAGTTAGAAGTGACCGTGAGGCTCATCTAGTCCAACAACCTGGAAAATCCAAGAATCTTTTGCCCAATGTGGGGCTTGAACCCACAATCCTGAGATTAAAACTCTCATGCTCTACTGACTGAGCTATCCCTCAAACCTCTTCCCTCTGTTTCACAGAAAAAAGAATCGGAAGGGCACGTGAAAAAGACGTGGTAAAGCACCGTGAAAGTTGGTGTTAAAAGAAAATAGGGGGGGGGGGAGCTTACAGAATATGGGATTTGCCTTTTTTGGGTGGGGGGGGGGAGCTCTAATGACAGTCTCTGCTGAAAAAAGCAGCACCAAATAGGAACCATTATTTAAACAATTATGTATGTTCTGGGAACAAAAAGATCTTTTAAATAAATGCAGTGAGTAGCAAAGATAATGGGAGTGGGGTGGAGAAGCATTGGCAGGAGAATGCTGGTAGGCATGATTATTCCAATTCCCAAAAGGCTTTACTGAAAATAGTTTTTTTCTGATTTCCCTCCTTCCTTCTGAAGTCCCGTGGTACAGACTCTTTGGATAGACAGGCAGAGGAAACCAGAAATACCCGGAGCCCTCTCAAATAGGTGCCAAGCGGCCAAACAGCCCACGGCACAGCAGGAGTTTTCCTCTGGTAAGCCTTGAATTATTTCAGATGCCAGCCTGAAATACAGATGATCTGCAGACTGTTCCTTGCTCACCTAAGGAATTTAAACTTTGCAGTGTTTCTGACATTCTGAAACCAGTTTTATGTGGAAAACACACTCGGAGAGGGGGGATTATTTTATCGACAATGCTATTTTTATTTAAATATCATAAAATGATGGCAACCTCTTTGCCCAAACTAATCATGGAGGTGTCCTGTTCTGTGGCAAAAGGACTTTCATGCCAGCTCCACTTTCTAAAGCTTTTTACCAGCCAAGCGTTCAAAGGCTGCTCTTCAGAGATGCAGTGTTTTCTCACAAAATTCCAAGGAATCAATAAAATAAACCTAGGCTACAGGCTCCCCCACTGTGCCAGTCATAAACTACAGGTGTCATTAAAATTTAGGCTGCACTGGAAGAAAAGGGGGTGGGTATTAAACATCTCTACCAACCAACTTTTTCTAGAGCGGAGTTTCCCAAACTTGGATCGCCAGCTTTTTTGGGACTACAACTCCCATCATCCCTAGCTAGCAGGACCAGTGGTCAGGGATGATGGGAATTGTAGTCCAAAATCAGCTAGAGACCCACATTTGGGAAACCCTGTCCTAGAGGGTCCAGCAATCCCTTGTAACATATTTTCCTTTGGGTGTGTGTATAGATGGCTGCAGAGGAAAAGCCTCCCCACTTCCACCAGTGGGAGCATCTATTGAGTGCTTGCCTTGACACATCTGCCAAGCAGAATCTTCATTCTGCTTCTCTCTCTCCTCTTGTTTACCTGAGCCCTCCTTTAATGCTTGATATGATTCTGGCAAGCAGGGAAGCAGGAGGTGGAGGAGCAGGAGAAAGACTAAGCTGGTAATAGAAGGCTGGCATCAGTCCTGGATAAAATGCAGAGTTCAGAACTGGTGATAAAAATTATGTTTGCAACGATGGCTCACAATCTTATTGGGTGGGGTAAAAATAAGAAAAAAATTACTAAAATGATTAAATATGGTTCAACAGCATAGCCCATAATAGGCTCAGCAATCTCTACAACCCCTTTAGCAAGCCAGTACAGTAGTACCTCGGGTTACAGATGCTTCAGGTTACATACGCTTCAGGTTACAGACTCTGCTAACCCAGAAATAGTACCTCAGGTTAAGAACTTTACCTCGGGATGAGAACAGAAATCATGCTCTGGCGGTGCAGTGGCAGCAGGAGGCCCCATTAGCTAAAGTGGTGCTTCAGGTTAAGAACAGTTTCAGGTTAAGAATAGACCTCCAGAATGAATTAATTACTTAACCTGAGGTGCCACTGGATTTGGTTTGCTTCAAATGCAGGACTTCCTTCAGCACCCCTGTTTATGGAGCCCACCAGCTCAGCCAGCTACTCATCCATCTCCTTTTGTTAAAGTCCAAGGTTAACCCCACTATGACACTGCAAACTAGGCTCCTCCATCCTTCCAAGTCACAATCTCATCCACAGCTTGCCTGTTTTACACTTTCCAGTTGTACTTAGCAAGATGAGTTCATGCCTTGAGGATGCTACACTTGTTTCTATCAAATCACGATACTGCACTTTCATCTCTGTGCATAGGAAGCAGATCAAATAACTGTTCAAGGACAACTACCCTCCTGCGTCAATTCAGAGGGTTTTAAAGCACTGTTTTGACCTAAATCATAGTCAGGAAATTTTGACAAGCTTCGTCTTTTGGAGGAGTTTGGTTTTATAGGAAAACTGCTTTTAGGTAAAAAATATTGCTCAGTCCGTGCCTTGTCTTTAGCTGTGCACGATAAACAAATCATGCTATTGTACACACAGAATCCACTTGTCCTTGATATTAAGTAAAATGCAGCACAGTCTTGGGAAGATTTGTTGGAGCTGAAAGCAGACTTTATAATTTAGCTTGGAGTCTCGAACTGGCATAAACCATGGCGCTATAGATCTATATACCGACATACAAAGCTCATAAAAGAAATAAAACAAAAATTTATCGCTTTGCATTCTTCCATTTCACAAAACATTATTTCTAAAATTAGATTTCAATATTATTTATTGCATTAGCTCACTAAGAGGATGCAACCGCAAAGCAATTAAAGCCTGACATCATTAAGACTTGATAACCCATCCATTTAAAACGTGAAAAATATGATAGCTTTACTTGAAAGGAAGACAAAATTAATATCAAAACTTACAAAATGGAGGATAGAGGCTTTGCCATTATAGTATGTGCATGCAGATGTCCTACTTTCTCCAACTGGTTCTCATAGCCTTTTCTTTCTCTCTCTGGGTCATATACACTGAAAATGACAATTCAGAATTCCCCAGACAAAATACATTTTTAGTGATCCTCATGAAAAGCTGGTAGAAATCATTTGGATGCCTGTTGTTATTGTTAATTACATTCATGTTCTCTCCTACCTCTCAGGGAAGTATTCAGATATTTAAAGTACTGAGATGGGCTGTCCTGACTCTGGCTCCAAGGCATGCAAGCTGTGGTTCTTACTTTGACCAAAAAACACCCTTATTCAGGCACATGATGGTAAGGCTCAGCAGCAGATGCAAGGCTCATGGGTCATGTTTCAGGAGTTAAAGAGCAGCACAAGAAGTTCAGAATGGGATGGAAGCAATGAAGATGTCCCAACAAGTTTCCACACCCCACCTGGTATGCTCACTCACAAGACTTGCTTGCCTTGTGAGAATGTTGGAATTGCAAATATGCACTCCATGAAGGTGGGTGGTTCTGTTCCTATCTGGGAAGGTGATGCCTCGTGTCTTGCAACAAGACTGCAGCCTCCTACTCAGTTGTTGTTGTTGCCACCTCCAGTTCTGCTTCTCCCGGCTGACTGCTCTAAGCCCTCCCCAGCCTCCATTGAGGCTCTCCATTCCACAGGAAAGTTGGGGCTGGCACCCCTGCTCTCTCTTCCCATGTGACTGAAGCTGAGGTGGACAGGAGAGTTTCCCCTCCTCCAACTCAGATCCCCCCTCCCCCTCTGTTTCATCCACTTCCTCCTCCTGCATCTGAGCCTGCCACATCAAGCCTAATCTGAACAGTGCTGTGTGAATCATGATACAGGACCTTGCTCCCAAGAACTTATCATCCAGCAGGAGTAGGGAACCTGTGGCCCTCCAGATATCATTGGGGTACATTAGCCACATCCAGCCTAGCCAATGATTAGGCATAATGGGAGCTACAGCATTAACAACACCTGAAAGGTCACAAGTTCTCCACCCTGTTGTACAGGGTCAAACAAGGCAAGACAGAGCTGAAAGCAATATTTATGTGTGTATGATAGGTTTCAAAATATTGGGGTAGTGTAAAGGATAGAGATCTCCCGTGTACATGTGTAAAATGAATGTGTATGCACACAGAATGCCACTACAGTGGTACCTTGGGTTTCATACGCTTCAGGTTACATACGCTTCAGGTTACAGACTCCGCTAACCCAGAAATAGTGCTTCAGGTTAAGAACTTTGCTTCAGGATAAGAACAGAAATCGTGCTCCGGTAGCGCAGCGGCAGCAGGAGGTCCCGTTAGCTAAAGTGGTGCTTCAGGTTAAGAACATTTTCAGGTTAAGAATGGACTTCCGGAACGAATTAAGTACTTAAACCGAGGTACCACTGTATATTTCCTTCCTTTCCCTCCACCTTTATACCTTTCTAGCCAGATTGAAAATACTGATGAATGTGTTTGTGTTGCAACTGCTTTATAAAAAAGTATTTTCAGATCCATTGGGAGAGTGTACATTCTATTAAAATATTCTCTTTTCTCTCTTGTTCTCATCATCCTGGTACAAAAACGAGTGAGGGACAGGTTATTGCAGAGTAAATGAATGCAACACACAGCAAGTGGAGAAGAGTCATCAGCAATCTGTGATGGGAGAAGAGGACTCAGCTGGTGACGCATGACATGGGAATAAATGCTGCAAATTTACAATGGTACCTATTTCCATCTGTGAAATATTGAAATGTATGGCAGGGTCATCTATTGGATACTGGCTGTGATAATGTTCTGCTGGCTTTTCAACTCTGTTTTCAATTCAAAAGTTGCTATATTGGAGGTGGAGGTGAAAAGGTCTACAAATATATACTGCTTTTGCACCTGTTCACAGTCATTGTTCCTCAATTTGATGTATTTTGGCACCAATTTCATTTTACTTTCACTCCTACTTTTTTAAAAAAATAAAATAAAAAAGTTTTAACAGAGTTAAAACCTGCAGCCAGTCAGGAATCACTTGGGAAACTGATGATGTCACGGCACAATATAACCAATAATATTTGCCTCTATGACAGTGCAGACTTCCTCAACCTTGGGGCCTCCAGTATTCTGGACTACATCTCCCATAATCCCTGACCACGGGCCAAGCTGGCTGGAACTGATGACAGCTGGAGTCCAAAATATATGGAAGCTGCCAAGCTGGGGAAAGTGGCAATTGTGTAATTAATGTAACAAATCAATCCTCTCTATTGTCCTCTCTCTATAAATGAAAGATCCTCACATGCTTCCCCTAC